GGGGGGGTCTACGCACGTAAGGAAGGGTGGATTTATTTATTTTTTTGAAACCCACACATAAAAGGTCGCTTTTAAGGGCAAGCGGGCTAATCCAGGTTTTAGGAGTTTCCAGAAATCTTGACCTACACCAAAAGTAGGCATTGCCCTACCTATAGGAGAAGTTTGGTTTTATTATTGGTGTGTATATTTGTTTGGTTATAGAGAAAACTCTCCTTGTCTTTTAAAGGAACTTAATGAGGGTCCAAAAACTTAACCTTCGATTATCTCAGAACAGGATTTTTTGGGATAGCTCCCTTGTATTTAAAAGCGATCAAAATACAAAACAATGATATTATTATATGAGCTGATCAATGCACAGCGAGTTGGTTCCGTCCATCAAACTTCAATCTTGCTAGGTAGTTTTAGTTTCTTTTAGTTTCAGCAAGAGTGTTACGGCACTTGCAACAAAATAAGGTCATATAAGTACCTTAGATTAGAGGTGTTACAAGAGAGTAACAAACATACAAAAGAAGGAGGAGAGATCAGGACGATAGGTGTTCGATGGGAAAGAAGGAGCAAACCACACCAGAGCACCCGCCAACCCCCCCCCCCCCTCCACAGTAAGGTTTTACGGCGCTCGCAACAGCATAATAAGGTCATATGAATGCCAAAGAGTGGATGTCAACAGAGAAGTACAAACTGGGAATCAGGCTTAGACCGGAAATCGCGGGTCACAAAAAAGTGACAAACGTACAAAAGCAAGTAAAGGGGATAATAGCGGTAGTGAGGACGGGGAACAAAACAGCAGCAGTTCCCCCTATGTTGTTCCGGCACAATATGAGCATGACATTGATAAATCAGCCCATTTACAATTCTACTATGCATACGAACATGTCAACATCACCCCTAGCTGAAGATCTTACTTGAGAATGCCGACAGTTGAGATGTAGGAAAGTCCTAGCTCCAGACATTGTCTACGGACAGATTTCTCATGGGGTTCATCAACTCAATGCTGCACCCTGGTGACGTTTTAAGAGTGCGAACGGTGTGCATTTGACCTGAAGTGGTCATTTTGTCGAGGAAGTTTTAGTTCTGATTCCCTACAGACCTTAACAGATGGACCATTTTCACCCTTGACATCAAAGGAGGCCTTCAGGATATTTTAACATTATTTCCTCAACTTGTGCAAAACTTACGAAATGAGTTTGTTGTGAGGAAATTCACAAATAGATCACAACAGTACGGTAACTTAGTTTAGTTTTAGTAGAGGTTTTACAGCGCTCGCAACTGCATTAGGTTATAATGAGCGCCAATAGTAACTGATTTTCACAAACACATCACGACAGTAACTGATCGCTTTTAAGCATAAGGGGGCTATCCCGAAAAATGCTGTTTTGAGAAAATCAAAGGTAAAGTTTTTGCCCCTACTTCAGTTTTTTAAAAGGACAAGGAGAGTTTTGTCTATGACCCAACAAATATACACACCAGTGAAACCAAACTTCTCCTATTGGTAGGGCATTGCTCACTTTTTGTGTTGGTCAATATTTCTGGAAACCCCCAAAATCTGGGTTAGCCCGCTTGTCCTTAAAAGCGACCACCTGACCTTCCCAAACACTAACAGGCTAACCCACGAGCTCCAACAACAACACAAGTAGGCCTCACAATCATGGCCCTCCACGCGGCTTCTGTAAACACAACATGAATGAAACCATTCATATAAAGTTAAATGATTTTACAATACATACCCCCCCCCAAAAAAAAAAATTTAAAAAAAATCAAAAAATCAAAAAATTATTATTTATTCTCGAGTTTTGCATAACGCTTTTTGTCTCCTGTGCGCGGATG